CATACCGGTAGCAAATAGAATACTTAGAGGAGTACTTCAGAATCCACCTAACATCTGAAGTGGTTTATTTTATAATCCTTGGAAAAGTTCCATATTGGAATCCTCACAATGGGATTCCCAAATTCTATATTTTTCCAATGATTATATCCTGATCTCACCAAGAGATCTAATCCATACCATAACCTTACTCCTTTAAGTCCTATTTACTTTCCAAACCACACACATAATAGTTTCCTCAATTACATGCAATTATTTCCATATCCATACCAAATCATTCAATATAATAACAAATAATTAATTGACTAAAAGAACCATGCCAAATAAAATATCATATTAAAATTTTCCTATTCCTATTATGCTCATACATACTAGATTAAATCTTATAAGTACTACCTTACTTTGCATACTAGATTAATTTTATAAATGTCACCCTTACTTGGATAAACTGAACTGAAACTCAGGTAGAACCTCCTCCTTTCTCTTAAACAAGAACTGAAACTGAAACTAGAGCACAACCTCCTCCTCTAGGCTCCTTCTGTCTAAGGCAGGAAGTTGAGGGAAAGAAGAGAAAGCAGAAGAGAAGAGAGAATGAGAATAAGAAGTGTTTTCTTGGGATGAATTGAAATGGAAGATTGAAGGACTATTTATAGCCTTCAAAACACATTAAAATATAAAGAAATTAGGCTTGGTGGAGTTGGTGGGATGAGTTGGTGGATGCGTTCTTTTGCATGCCGATTTTGACCTTCTAAACAGCCGAAACTACCATGGATAACGAAGCAGCATTGAGGCGACTGATCGAGCAGGTCGAGCAGATGCGGCAACAACATGCCGCAGATCTACAAAGCATGAGTGCCAAGCACGAAACTGACCTAGCCGCAATGCGTACCGCTAATGAGGCTGACCTAGCGGTGCATTCCTTTGTATGGGAAATCTTTCTTTTCTTAAATGAAGCCAAACTAAGTCTCCCTCTTTAAAAGTTAGTTTCTTTATCCCTTTGTTGTTGTATTCAATATACTTTTGAGTTTGTTTTTCAATTTGGTCTTTAACCTTCTCATGAAGTTTTCTAATAAAATCAGCCTTAGACACTCCTTCTTTATGCAAGTAAGAAGAAGTACTAGGCAATAGTGAGAGGGTTAAAGCCATAAACAACCTCGAAAGGAGAAAGATTGGTAGTCTTGTGAACTACCCTATTA